CTCTAGAAGCATTTCGAGAGGAGTTGGTGGTTCCCTGGAATGAGATACCCCAGGAGGACATTGACCACCTGATCAGAAGCATGCCTAGGCGCGTTGGAGAATGCGTAGCACATCAGGGTGCATCCACACATTATTAAAGGTCAAAGGGCTTTAAAGCAGTGCAATCATTTTGAAATTTTTATCATTTACTTATTATGCTTCATTAAGTACTTATACAAAATTTTATTAAAATAAAACCATTTAAACTGGGTGTTCGGATTTATATGTCACTTAGTGTAATACCAAAAAGTTGTGAACTAAGACGCGGTAGTATGCTACACATGTTTACAGTTTAGTTTTGCACATGGTTTGCTATGACATCACAACTTGTTACTTCTTGAAAGTTAAAAATATTTTTAATAATTAAGGTAAGTTATTTAGAACAATTGTCTGTAGCTTCTAAATACCTTATTTATTTTCTTTTAAAATATTGTGATTTTATTAGGAATATAACCTAAGTATGCTTGTGTAAACTTTTTAACGGAAAATTCCTAATTTGAGATACCCAAGTTTCCCTAATTCGAGACTATCTCAAACTAGGGTCCTGTATCAAGATGCAGAAGCCCGGAAACACAAGAGTAAGGAGGTGGATTATGTAAAAGCCTCAAAAGGATTCGGATAGATACCTTTCGCTCCAGTTCAAGTTCAGAATGCAGCGGAACCCTTAAGTTGGGCGATGCTGAATGTTTATTTTGTACGGGTCGATTTTCCGAAGATAAGAAGGGTGAAAAATGGGCAAAATACAGACATTGTAGTACATGGGCACATAAAGATTGTAAAGAGATAACCAATAAAATTTTTATTTGCACTTTCTGCAGAAGAAAGGAATTTTTGAATAGTCTCTCAAATTAGGGACCAGGTGTAAATTCACAAAAATATTCTTTTTTTTTAAATATACTTTTTGTCTGTAAAAAAAGACATTTATTATTATTTTTTATTTTAGAGTATGCTAGGAGCATCAAATCGCACGTTTATTTGAAAATATACGCTCGTTTAAAACAACAAATACTTTATTTTTCCTTTTCAAAAAAAATATCTCAGATTTGGTTCCTTTCCTCTGCCATTTATCAATTCATCCAAGGATAAAAAGAAAATGAAAATGGGGCTCAAAATTTCTTCAATTCATTGTTTTGACTGGACTACTGATTGTGAACGCGTATTGTTCCATTCGCTTCCATTGGGTCTTATATGACTATCAAGAGTCTGTACAAAAATATAAAATAAGTGTCGGTCTTCTTGATTCCGTATTAACTAGTATGTATAATAGGAAATCAAAATTATGTGTTTCTTATATACTCAGTGACATTAGAAATGTTACACCCAGAAAAAATTACGAAATTTTATTGACAAGAAATACCTCCTGTATACGTCTAGGCAGCGCAACAGCTATGCTGAATGACGTAAGCTGCAGCGTCAGCGTAGCTAGAGGCTGCCCTCAGGGCGGAGATTTGTCACCCCTACGAGGGATGTCTTTTAAGTTTTCCATATAGAAACGTAGTAAGCCGCGCGGACCGAACGTCAGTACTGAATCTTAACCTCACTCTTTAGTACACTTAAATTCAAAGTTTCACAACAATACGTGCAGTGATCTCACTACAGGGAATTTTTAAGTGTCACCAAGTCATTAGAAAAATGGAACTCAACCGAGAAGATTTTCGTGCCATAATTTATTACAACTTTCAGAGCAAACTCATCATTGAAGATAGACATGTGACATATCGCGAGAATGAGGCGTCCTTGAAGATCTCAAAGACCTCAATTCAAAAAATTTTATATGAAGAATTAGGAATAAGAAAATTAGTTTCTCGTTGGATACCCCACCTGTTGACTGAAGAGCAGAAAGCAGCCAGGGTTAATTGGTGTCTAAAAACGCTTGACCGGAAACTCAAAAAATGTATACAGCATTGTTAATAGTGATGAATTGTGGATTTACTGTTATGAACCAGAAAATAAACCACAGTCGGCTGTTTGGGTGTTCCAAGGTGAAAAAAAACCAACAAAAGTCATCCGTTCTCGAAGTGTTTCGAAAAAGATGGTCGCGACATTTGTGTCAAAAGCGGGTTTTATTGTAACAATTCCTCTTAATGAGCAAAGAACTGTTACTGCGGATTGGTATACCACCATTTGTTTGCCAAAAGTCATCACCGAGCTTCGAAAAATCAACCCCGAAAGGAGAATCATCCTCCAAGACAATGCAAGCTCGCACACAGCCCAAGAAAACGTGGAATTATTGGACCATCCTCCATATAGTCCAGATCTAAGTCCTAACGATTTCTTTACTTTCCCGAAAATTAAAAACAGACTGGGTGGTCAAACGTTCCAGTCACCAGAAGAAGCAGTTGACGCATTCAAAAATGCCGTTTTGGATCTGCCAGCAAACGAGTGGAAGCTCTGTTGGATCTCCCGCCGTTGGATCTGGTGATCCGCGGTGAAGCGAGAGTAGTCGCTCATCGACTGTGGAGTCAGGGCAGCTGGCCTTTCTTGAATCCTGTCAAGGGGCATACTGCCATCTTGGTCGAATTGCAAAGGGAGGACCCCGTCCTTCTAAGCAGGGGTGATCGTATTACCCCTAAATATCCAACGAGGGAGGAGTGGGACGCCGGTAGCCGGAGACTCTCCGCAGTGAGCGGGCAGGTCTGGTACACGGACAGCTCGGTCACCGAAGAGGGCTCAGATACTGAGGTCTCTGAGACTAGAACTAGGCTATCTCTGCCTCTCGGTGGATACATCACTATTTTCCAGGCGGAAATCTTTGCGATTCTGACTTGTGTATCTCACATTCTGGAGGAGGGTGGACCTAGGAGAAGAATAACAATCTTATCCGACAGCCAGGCTGCAATGAAAGCACTAAGTGCGTGTAAGAGTACTTTGAGTCTTGTATTGCAATGCAGGGAGGCTCTGGATTGCCTCGCAGCGAGGCATCCGGTATCGTTAATGTTGGTACCGGAGCAAGCTGGGATAAGGGGCAATGAGACGGCGGACACTCTGGCGAAGACAGGATCATCCAGCAAGCTCGTTGGTCCTGAGCCAGCTCTAGGAGTGACCGCGCCTAGAGCTAGGATGAAAATGGAGACATGGGTTGCAAGACAACACTCTCAGAAATGGAGAAGTATCTCCAGACATCTTCGCCAGGCACGGGAACTCATTGAAGGGCCCAGTGCTAAGGATGGACGTTTCTGCCTATCTCTGGATAGAGACAACCTAAGGTTGCTGGTGGGAGTGTTGTCTGGCCATAACACGTTAAGGCGCCACCTGCACGTGATGGGGGTGGCTGAGGATCCCTTGTGCGAACGCTGCGGGGTAGAGGAAGAGACCTCGGCGCACGTTTTGTGTCGCTGTGAAGCTCTGAGCTACTATAGGCAGACTATACTGGGGTCCATTAGTTTAGACCCTCAGGACGTCAAGGACTCAAGGCGATTCTCAACTTCGCTAAAAGGGCGAGGCTTGTGATCTAAGGAATGTAGAGGTGCATAAGGGCCCGTTTAAGCGGCCTATGCACTGGCTCCTTATGGTAGCCGGAATGCCTCTAATTTCATGATTCATTCATTCAAAGTATATAACGGGTGATTTTGTCAGAGGTATAGGATTTGATTTTCAAAAAAAAACACAAAAATTTGAAAAAACGATTAAATCTTTATTTGAGTCGATAGAACGGTCGTTATAATTTAATGTTTAAAGATTATTTCATGTAAATGTTGGCCGCGGCTGCGCTTTAGATGGCCCATGCGCAAGGTCCAATTTTGGCACACTCTCTCCAACATATCGGCCGGTATCTCACGAATAAATGCTTCAATATTGGCTTACAGTGCGTCAATCGTTGCTGGTTTATCCCTGTAGACATTAGCCTTAACATGGCCCCACGAGAAATAGTCCAACGGCGTTAAATCACACGATCTAGGCGGCCAATTGACGGGTCCCAAACCTGAGATAAACTGTTCACCGAACTTGCCTCTCAATAGGGCCATTGTTTCGTGTGTGGTGTGGCATGTGGCACCGTCATGTTGAAACCACATATCAACCAAGTCCAGCTCTTCCATTTTGGGCAAAAAAAGTTTGTTATCATCGCACGATAGCGCTCGCAATTCACAGTTACGTTCCGGCCATTGTCGTCTTTGAAGAAGTACCGCCCGATGATGCCACCGACCCATAATCCACACCAAACAGTGATTTTTTGGGATGCATTGGTAGCTCTTGCAATGCTTCTGGCTAGTCTTCACTCCAGATGCGGCAATTTTGCTTGTTAACGTACCCATTCAACCAGAAATGAGCTTCGTCGCTGAACACAATTTTTCGATAAAAATGTGGATCTTCCTCCAACTTTGCCAGCGCCCATTCACCAAATGGGAAACGTTGTGGGAGGTCGTGTGGCTTCAATTCTTGCACCAGCTGTATCTTATAAGGTTTTACACCCAAATCCTGTCGCAAAATTTTCCACGTAGTGGAGTAACAGAGGCCCAATTGCTGCGAACGGCGGCGAATCGACATTTCACGGTCATCACTAACACTGGCGGATACAGCCGCAATATTTTCTTCAGTCCTCACTCTACGTCTGCGTGTTGGTGGTTTAATGTCCAATAATGTAAGCTGGGTTCGAAATTTAGTCACAAGCTTCCGAATAGCTCCCTCAGTAGGCCGACCAAATTGCCCATAAATTGGAAGCAGTGCTCGATGCACTCTCTTAACCGAGCATGAATTTTGATAGTAAAATTCAATAATTTGCAAGCGTTGTTCGTTCGTAAGTCGATTCATGGTTAAATTATAGACCAAACTGAACAAATTTGACAATGACACAAGACACGATTCACGCGTCATCTGTCAAAAACAGTGTTGCCAAAAAGATACTAGCAAAAAAATCACTCATTAGATATGATGAAAAAAATTTTTAATCTGTCCGCCGTCTGTTTTGAGCTGGGTACGCCCTTGTACACCATTGCATTTAAATAACATATTTTTGTTTTCAGGTCGATGTTTGGGACTGGCGAGAAAGATCAGACAACTCCTGCCGATCATTATCTTTCTGCTAGGTGTAATACTAACAAAACTAGGCTTCCTCACCCTGTTCTCCATCAAAACTATGGCACTTGTCGGGTTGCTGCTCCTGCTGAACGCCAGTGCCTTCGCAGCTAAGATTGCCACAGCGTTTGCCCTTAAGGGTGAACATAAGCATCCACAGACAGTTCATTTCCATGTACATAAAGACAGTGTTGAAGGTTACCATATAGACCATTCCAGTCCTTGGGAACACAAATCTGGTGAAGCCGGTCCTGAGTTCGACTGGGACCGTGTACAATCGTATAATTTATACAATAAGTTATTAAAAGAGTCATATAAAAGGAGTTACGAAGAATTTACCAGGTGATTACCGTTGTGATTTAGTAGTGATAATAGTGTAATAAAGCTGTCTTTGCAAGATGTTTATGAACTGACTGCAGCGTTGTTTCTATTGTAAATGTTGTTTCGTAGGACTGACGTCTTTGTATGCACAAATTTATAATTATTTTTATTTATTTGTAATTTGAGAAGAAATATACATGTGAAACCAGCAAGATTATTTTCTGCTTTACCAGTGGTACACATGTTTCTTAGTCATAATGGATCGTAGGAAACTTGAATAAGTTGCTCTGTAGTATAAACCATGTAGATATATGTATGTCATGACAATTTTTTGTTTTTTTTGTCCCTAACTGCGCCGCCACTGAACCGACTTTTAAAAACTCTAAAACTGTTTTGTCCTCGGATTCATTACCGAGGTGCACCAAAATCTGTGAAAGGTACGGGGGAGTTGTGGCCTTTGTCCGCAGTAGTTTTTCCTGCTCCAGAGATATTTCTCTGGAATCAGACCGGAAGGATATTATGTGGCTTCGCCTCAACTCCAAAACATCCACCAGACTGGAATGACCTACTTGAATACCTCGCCGACAAGATCGTCCTATCCCTTACGGCGCTGCTATCCTGTCCCCTTGGGTTATTTAAACCACGGTGTTGTGGAGGTTAGGTTTCAGCCAGAACCTGCTGTGGCAGCAGAAACTCGCACAGGTTGCAAAATTTGGCATTACGGACATGCCTACTGGAAGGGGCTCAGGCTCAGGCTTCTTCTCTACCTTTCCTTGGAGACATGTCTGTTTCACTGACGCGGATGCGTCGGATGTCTGTTCTTCGATAACCGAAATTACCCACGTCGGAATGGAGGAATACATCCCTCATACAGTGAAAGTGCCAACGGCTGGTTTAACAAATCGTGTGACACTGTTCGCCAGCAGAAGATCAAGGCACTCAGAACCTTCTTGCAAAACCCCACTGCAGAGAACAGACAAGCCGACGTCAAATCGAGAAACAAATATAACGAAGCGGTTCGCAATGGCAAAAACCAGCACGATATAAAAATTAGGTACAGGGTAATGTCGCAGCGCAATGGCAGTAGGTATTTCTGGAACCTGGCCAAGCAGATTGAAAAGAACTTCTCACACAGTAGCCTTCCATCACTTACGTGTCAGGATAGAATGACTGTATCGGACTCAAAGGTCAAGGCGGAAGTGCTTGGCAAGATCTTTGCTGCCAACTCCAGCATAGACGTCCCTCCAGCGCCCAAGTGACGTCAATTCAAAGGGTTCTCTACACTATGCGTGAGGTAACATTTAGGCATAAGACCGGCCCGCTGCTCCGTTAAGCAAACTTCCACCCTACAGCCTCCCAGAAAAGCTGTGCAGATGGGTGGCTAACTTTCTCTCTGGCCGCAACATATCCGTCGTAATTGACGGGTTCTCCTCTTCATCCTACAACGTCAACGCGGGTCTTCCTCAGGAATCGGTCTTGGCTCCGACACAGCTCCTCCTACATATCAACGACCTCCTTTCCTGCACGATCAACCTAATACACAACTTCTCTGAAGGCAGCAGTCTACTTGCAGAAATTCAGAGTGACAAGTCAATTCTGACGCTGAGTGACGACTTCCTCTCTGACGAGAGACCTGGAGGTTATCACTGCTTGGGGACGCAACAATCTTGTGCAGTTTAATGCTTCCAAAGCACAGTACTGTACCTTGACGAACAAAAAGCGTCCCAGCGCTCATCCGGTTTCGATGGATGGCCGAGTTCTGCCAAAGAGCCATTAATTTCAGCTGGTCGGAGTCCAGATCACCGAGGACCTGATCTGGCACGACCACATCTCATCAATATCGGCAGCTGCTGGGAAAAAGCTAGGCTACTTGTTTAGGGCTCGATACAAGAGACAGCATTGGAAATCAAGATTGGAAAGGCTCCTGGACCTGACGGTATACCACCGGAGGCACTGAAGATAGCGTTGGAGGTATTACCGGAGACGATACTAGGCGTGCTGAACCAGCTACTGAGTTCGCAAGACTTCCCCAAGATCTGGAAGATTGCCTCAGTGACTCTTATATGGAAGGGAAAACCCGTGGAACTACCTTCCTCGCACAGACCTATCTGTATGCTGAGCGTAGTGGGAAAGTTCTTCGAAAGACTAATTAAACTTAGAATCGAAGAGGAGCTCAAATCGAAAGTTGACCTGTCAAACGAGCAGTATGGATTTAGGAAGGGCAGATCAACCGTCCAGGCAATTAAAGCAGTCGCGGATAATGTATCGGAGACGGAAAGCAAGTGGTGCGCACTGATCACTGTTGACGTAGAAAATGCCTTTAAGTCGGCTACTTGGAGCCTAATTTCAGCATACCTGATAAACTTGGTGGAGAGCTACTTCCAGGACAGAAAGCTTCTCCTAACGAAGAGAGAAACGAAGGACATCTGCGAGGGAGTTCCTCAAGGCTCAGTCCTTGGGCCTCTTCTGTGGAATGTGCTTTATGATGGAGTTCTGGGTCTTGCATTTCCACAGGGAATAAAATGCATTGCGTACGCTGACGATCTGGCGATCATAGCGGAGGCGAACTATTCCAAGGAGCTGGAAATCATCACGAACGAAGCGTTGGCAAGAATCAGCGAGTGGATGGCAGCAAACAAGTTGCGACTTGCCCCACAGAAGACGGAAGCCGTGATACTGAAGGGATCCCGCAAGAAGAGCTCGGTGAATTTCCAATTCCTTGGCACGAAGATAGTGACAAAGAGACACCTCACGTACCTGGGAGTCGTGTTAGGAAGGTAGATGCTAGGATGGCCCAGCTATCAAGAATACTACCAAATATAGGAGGTCCAAGTAGCCTTAAAAGGATGGTCCTTTGTGAGATAATCCACTCCGTGGTCCTGTACGCAGCTCCTGTATGGCACCGTGTGGTCCAAGTCCAGAGATATAGACAAATGCTCTTGAGTATCCAGAGGAAGGCTTTGCTGCGGATATCGAGCGGCTATAGAACAATGTCTACTATGGCCGCTCAAGTAATAGCTGGAATATCCCCAGTCACTCTGCTCATAGAGGAAAGGCTCCGCATGTTCAGCAGGGATGATGCTAAGCTTCGTACTACCAGGTTGCTGGAAAGAAGCACAACTTTGGAGAAATGGCAGCGTGTGTGGAGCGACCACCCAGAGACGGCAATGTGGAGCAAGACTCTGATCCCGGACGTAAGACAGTGGGTTAGCTGTAAACATCGAAGGCTAGACTTCTACTTGACCCAGTTTCTATCGGGCCATGGATACTTTGGGGATTACACCAAAAGAATGGGAATCACGGAGGGCAGCATCTGCGGTTATTGTGGAGAGGAGGACTCCCCGGAGCACACAATCTTTGTGTGTCAAAGATGGGCCGCATGGAGGAGCAATACAGAGTCAGTTATCGGTGCGGAGGTCAATAGCAGAAGCATCACCATACTCATGATGAAAAGTAAGGAGAACCGGAACACAATACACAGGTTTGTTCGTAATGTGATGAACGCAAAGCGCAGGGACGACATCTTGCACTAGCAGAAGAAACGAGCATATCCGCTGCGAATGCATCTGAAGACATGCCGCAACAAGTGGTGCTACCGGATGTAGTCGCGAGCCAGAGGAGGTGGTTTAGTGGGTAGTCAGTCTACTAGAATGTAGCTGGAGTCCCACACTCCCATGCGCGCTAGAACCACGGCGTATGGGGTCCGTAAAATGGATTCCACCTCCCGGTCCCCCTAGGACCACTAAAAAAAAAAAACTTGTTTAGGGCTAAGAAGTACTTTTCGCCGCATTACCTTCGCACTCTATACAAGGCCCAGATAAGGCCTAGCCTCGAGTATTGCTCACAGGTTTGGGGTACTGTCGCCCCGACTACATTATTTATGCTCGATGCTGTCCAGACGAGGGCTGTCCGACTGATCGATGACTCTTCTCTAACAGACAGTCTCGCGACCCTTTCGTAGCGGCGGGCCGTCGGCGATCTAGCTCTCTTCTACCACTACACCAACGGGCTTTGCTCCTCAGAGCTCTCTTCCATGATGCCGCCGCGCGATGTGCTTGCCAGACACACCCGCCTGACTTTAGCCTCCCATCCTAACCGTGTCGATCTTCGTACATCCGGAACTGGTCGATACGACCGCTCCTTTGTCCCGAGGGTGTCGAGATTGTGGAACAATCTACAAGAGGAAGTTTTTCCCAGTTCTACTAACCTTAGGCAGTAACATAAATCGTGTTAACAAAATTTCTTTGGGATCATCATAACAACCGCGGTGTCCAGGCATTTAGGCTGCTTTGGAATATAAAAAAACGTATTCAACCTGAAGATGGCAAGATGACCAACCTCATTCACCAAACCGACGTCTGCGTAAAAAATGCACTCTAACAGATATGTTGCCAAATGGGATCGAAGAAGCAATAAGCACATACAGCATTTTCCTTTAAAAAAATAATTAAAAAGAACTCCCTCTACTTTAGGCGACGTTGGAATGTTAAACTACGAAAAATCACCCATAGATTACTGTAACAGACAAAGGTGGGGTACCATAGATGGCGAACTTCAATTTCGAAGACGTGAATTAATATGCGTACCCAGGGGGGCAAGATGGGCAGCTCTACCGCATTCCCTCTAATTCGGCAAGAATAAAATGGGAAGAACGTTTTTTATGAAATCTAATTTTTTCATGTTCAGGGTTCTCCACAAACTGAATCAATATCTATTGAATGCGAAATTATTCCGTAATATACAGGGTGTCCGCAAAGTTGGGGTTTTCCTTTTCAGAAACAACTACCCTTGAAATAACAAAGGTAATGTGTAGTGAAACAAGGGCGACCAAGTAAAAAAAATAAAGAAAAAAGTACTCACTCTCCAGTTGACGAGAAGGGCTAAGTACGGCTCTGCCCGAAATCATACCGCTCCAACAGAAAATGAAATCAGCTGATGCGCTTCCAAGCAGACGCCGACGGTGGTGCAGACCAGTAGACCACGAACAGAGGTAACAAATATGACCATCGTGCAGAAACCACATTGATTGTCTTACACTTAATGGCACATCTTCTAACAATGAAGGCAAAATGTTGTGTAAAAAGTCTAGGTATTGCATCCCGTGGAATCGATTTGGGAGAATAAATGGTCCATTGAGCATACCGTTCACCATGCCAGCCCAAAGATTCACCGACAATGTTCTCTACTGACCAAACATGAGTGTTGCTAAAGTTATTCACCCCATTACCCGTGAACGTAGATTCGTCTGTCACCAATATGCACTTCAAAAAGTCCGGATTATTGTCATGTTGATGCAACAACCACTCACAAAACCGCACTCTTGCTGGAAAATAGTCAGGTTGAAGGGCTTGTACACGTTGGACGTGAAACGGATACAGCCCCTCTTCACGCAGCGTTTGCCACACTTTAGTTTTTGATACTTGCACTTCTCTAGCCACGTCTCTAGTGCTTGTTGAGGGATTCACGTCTACGCGATTATCTCTGCACGCGTGACCGTAACCGTCGGTTGAAGGTTGCATACTGACCTGACACACTGACCCCGACCCAGTTCTGTCGTCGGGTTGAGCTAGTGTCCTAGTACCAGTTGGGGATGTCGCGAATCGCGGCTACAGGACGGTATTCAGATATTTTTGATGTTGCAGAGCCCTTTATCTCGGTTCCCTTAAGACATTGGTGTATATGGAACTAAGAAAAATTGCTTATGTTTTCAAGATCTACACGTCGTGTAAAGGAAAACCCCAACTTTGCGGACACCCTGTATATATATTATATAGTTTTTATAATATCTGTCGACCTATGTATATATATATATATCGAAGCAGCCGCGCAGGCAGAAGCCGTCGGAACACCGCGTCTGCTATGATGATCCCAAAGAAATTTTGTTAATACGATAATATTATTATTGAGACAGGGCGGTACTCAAACTTCTAAAGGGCTATAACTTTGTTAATTTAATTTTACCAGAAAAATGTTAAAGGAAAAAAACATTTCTTTTGATCAGATCTACTCACTGTTAAAATAAATGACTCAAACACTAATTAGTTATCTCAAATTACAACTCAATACTTGACTAAACTAGACTATCGAATTATGCTCTACCAGGCGCAATTTTCTTAGAATGTATCTCATGAGGTCTTGGACGGAATTGAAATCAATTTTTCTCAGTTTTCCGTAAATTCGCCGTCTTAATTGGTTTTCATCTTGGGCTTCCCAGCCTCCTTGATAAACCCTCCTAGACAGTAAAGCCCAACAATCCTGTATTGGGCGAGCTTGCGGCACGTTTAAAGGATTATCGTTTTTGGGATCAAAAGGTATGTTGTGTTGCCGAAGCCAGTTTTAGATATCTCTTGATTAATGGCCAAAACATGATGATCATTAGCATGATGATCGTGGACAAACTGAGGCAATCTGGAAAGGCAGTTATCAATATAGCTCTGACTATTCAAAGCTTCACCCCTCACTGTTCCCACAAAAGGTTGCGATACACCCCTGTTAGAAATTGCGCACCAGACAAGGATTTTATCTGCAAATTTCGCTTGTATCTACCATTGTTGGGGCATTCCTCTAAGTTGCCGTCGTTTCCTTTCATTTCAGAATTACTCAATACTTTTCGTCATCTAAAATAATGATTTTTTCATTGGCAAAGTATACCTGCCTCAGTTGACGACAGCATCATGGTATACGCAGGAGTTGCGCTTGAGAGTATTTGTGTCACTTGAGTCTCTTTCGATATTGAAGACCATTCCACCTCAATTTCAACGATTTCTCTTTTTATGATTACGCTATCTCTCCCTATTATACTACCTTACTTGACCCATATTATCAATCTGTGTCTTGAGAAGGGCTACTTTCCTAAATCTTGGAGACGAGCAATAGTAAGGCCAATACATAAGGTCAGGAAGCCCACCGATTTCTCGGATCTTAAGCATCAGTCTTTTGAGTGTTTTGTCAAAGATCTTGGAGAAAATCATTTATTTGCAAATCTTAGATTTTTTAGAGTCAAGTGACATACTCACAGTACATCAGTCTGGGTTTAGAAAATCATACAGTACTATAACTGCTCTTCTTAATTTAGTGGACAACATCATCAGGGCCCTTGATAAAAAAATGTGTGTCGCCTTAGTTTCACTGGATTTCTCCAAGGCCTTTGATAGGATTGATCACGCACTGATATGTGCTAAGCGAAAATTTTATGGTTTTGTTAAAATAGCACTGCAGTTTTTTAAATCATACCTAACCCACCGTTCTCAGCGCGTCTCATTTTCTGGAGTTTTATCAAATGAGCACTTTATCACTTCGGGTGTGCCTCAGGGCTCAATTTTAGGACCCTTGTTATTTTTAATTTATGTAGCCGATATTGCTAAGTCCTTTCAAAATTCACAGCTACAGTCTTATGCGGACAACACTCAACTGCTTTACTTCTTTTATCCTGAGAACCTCCAGACTGCTACTGTGGAAATTAACGAGGACATTGACTCTATTTGCACCTACTCAGCCAATAACAGC